AGGGTTAGTGGGTTTAGAGTTTGGTCTTTGAAAATGTTTGTCACTTGTCTTTTTGCGGTCTCGTAGATGGTAGTAATGGCGTCGTTTGTTTCACTTTGTGAATGGTGATCGTAGCCACTCCAGGTTGTGGACGATATGCTTTCCTAAGAAAGTGGTTTTCTGCCTTCTGAAGTGCCTGTAGGTTTGTGGGATTAGTTGTGGCCCAGGTTTCGCAGGTATATGTTCCAGCGCTGCGAATACATGCATTGTAAATCAGAGTTTTGGTTTGGTCTTTTATGAAGCTGCTATTGATGGTGGGGGGAGAGTCTTGCTATTCTGGCGTGCATATTTCTGGCGGCTGTCATGATATGATCCCGCCAGAGTAGTTTCTTGTCGAAGGTCAGGCTCGGGTACTTTTTTTTGTTTTCCCAGGGGAGTGGTGTTCCTTTCAATTTGATCTTCGTTGGTAGTGATCGTGTGTTAGTTTTCCGCCATCGGTTGAAAAAGATGGTTTTGGTAGTGTTGTTGTAACCCGTTTTGGTCGCTCCAGTTCGCGAGGCTGGTAGTAGCTTTTTGAAGGCGATTTACTGCCGTTATGGTATTACCGTGCTTTGCCGTGAATGCCACGTCATCTGCAAACGGGTATTCACTGACTGCCGGAGTGCTTGGCATGTCGTTGATGCAGATGTTGAAGAGGGTTGGGGGACAGCCCCTTGCGGGACTCCGGCGTTGATTTGGCGAGTAGGAGAGGTTTGGGTATGGAATTGGATGAAAAAGGTTGTTTGAGAGAAAGCTGTGAATGAGGTGCCATGCTTTTTTCTGGGAGGATTGTACGACATTTGGAGAGAAGTTGATGTCGAAAGCTTGTGAAAAGTCGAAGAAGATGGCTGGGACGGGATGTTTAGAAGAGAGAGCAGTTGAAATTTCCATAGCCAGACGGAAGGTTTGAAGAGGGGCAGAGCCGCGTGAAAGGCCGAATTGCGTTGGTCGCATGATTCCCGTGGCATTCAGGTTGCTTCGGATAGCACGGAGTGTGATTCTTTCAAAAATTTTCCCAATTTGGGAGAGTAGGCTGATTGGTCGAAAATTGTTGGGGGTTTTGTGCGATTTACCTGGCTTCGGTATCATGATTACTTTAGCATGTTTCCTCTTTGTGGGGAAGTATGCGTCAATGCATGCATTCATGAGTGACGTTAGCGCACTGGTTACGTTGCGGGGGAGATGCTTTAGCATTTCTGCGTTAATTTTGTCCGGGCCACTAGCTTTGTTGCGTGCAAGTTTATTTTTATTTCTTCCGATACCGTCGTTTTCAGTGATGGTCGGGAGTGATCGGACGTCGGAGAGATCTGGTCTTGGTCGCCATCTTGGGAGCTTCTGATTGGCGGAGATATACGGAGCGTTTGGTGCAGAGCTGCTGCGCGCGTAGGTTTGAACGGGTAGAGTAGTAAGTCTCTCTTCGAGTACCTGCGCGAAGATAGTTTTTTTGACAGGGTCGAAGGTCACGTCTCTTGTTGGGCTGTGATGGGCGGCGCTGGGTTGCGTTGCGCGGAGCGGTTGTTCGCGGCGTGGTTTCCCTTGCAATTGAAGCAGAGGAATTTCGTGTTTGGTTTTGAGGGTCATTCGGAGGCGAAGTGGTCGCCGGCGCACGCCATGCACGTGGCTGGCTTGTAGCAGCCTTTGTTGGTGTAGCCGAAGGTCAGGCAGTGCCCGCATTGCGCTACGAATTGACGCGTCCGCGGCTCTTCGAAAGAAACTGCGTGAAAGCACAGAGACCTCAGTGCCTTAAGAGCTCCAATGTCTTTGTGATTGATTTCGATGAAATAAAGGCCTAGAGGCTCCAGTACCTTTTCCCATTTACCGTTTGTCAGAGCTCTTTCTCCGACTTTGCCACCACCTGTTTATAGATAATAGCATCTTGTCATCCGCATAAGTATAATAGAAACCATATTCTAGATGACTTTTTAAGTCCTTCACAAATGTTATATACAGTATAGGACCTAGGAAACGTTCTTGTGGAATTCCCCCTTTCACAAGTTTTTATTTCACTATAAGTGTTATCCATTTTGACCCTAAATGATCTTCCTTCTAGATAGTTTTTAAATAACTGTAAAACATTGCCTCTAACTCCTATACTTTCCTGTGCATCTAACATCTTTTCATGGGTTATTACATCGTATGCTTTTGACAAGTCAATGCTTAATGCTATCACATGCAATCCCTTGTGTAATTTTGCATTTAATACTTCTAGGTTTTCCAATAAGTCTGTGGTTCTTTTGTTTTTCTGATATGCAAATTGATTGTTATCTATTTTATATTTTTTCAGTTAATTGGTCAGTTTTTGTAATATATATTTTTCGAATATTTTACTTCTTGTATTTAATATGAAAAAATGTCCTATAGTTTTCATAGGTTGAGAGAATGTCTCCTTCATGAATTGATCTGATAATGGATACTTTTAATTCATGTGGAAAAGTTCCCTCATTAATGCTCCAGTTGATAATTTTCATTATAATTGGTGTTATTGAGTTGCTGTTCAGTTTTATATCTTTTATAGCTATTTTCTCAATTCCTGGAGCTTTATTACTGTCCATCCCTGTAATTAATGAACTAATTTCCTCTAATGTGATTTCAGGCAAGTAAAAAGACTGTGTGGTGTTTTTTGGGGGGGGGGGGCAGGACTGCTTGGTTATACATGTCTTCCGTTTGTTGTTGAAAAGTGATAGCAAATATTTCTACTATATGTTCAATTGGGTTACTTTTCCCTAAATTTTCTATTATGACTTCATCTAAAGATTTTTTCTGTGGTATGCCAAGTAGTTATTTATTTTCCAAGTGTTTTGAATGTCGTTTCTGCTATTTTCGTTTGTTAAAATATTCATTATTTAGCCGTTGGATTTTTTGTTACGTCATTTCTGATTCTTTTATAATTTATTCTTAATGTGTCTTTTAATTATTTTTGACTGAAGTCCTTTTCCATCTTTTAAACAAGTTATCTCTTTGTTTTATTGATTTTTGAGTTTATCCAGGATTTCAATATGACCTTTTTTCTACTATTATTAGATTCTTTAGAGACAAGATTTACCATACATGATTTTACTAATCACCTTACTTTTCTCGTTTTTTCTCATTAGTACTTTACCATTTTTTTTAAATCCAGCTAATTTTTTTCTTTGGCCTTATTTTTGGCTTTCCAAAGTAGATTTGCGTTGTATTGCGTTAGATTTTTATTTATTGTAATGGACCACACAGGCGCAATTATTCGTATAATACGCCGCTGTAAGTCACACTATCATAGAGGGGGTTGCCATCACACTTATGGTGCGGCGGTTGTTTCCAGACACCAGGACGCATGCGCTGTATTTATTTAGTAGGGTCCTAAGCGTATGTCTTACCTGTGATCTGGGCATCGGCGTTCAGACATCAGGGGTGGGCACCCTGGGTCGAAGGATTGCATTTGCTTACTGGCTATAAATAATACTTTTTTTGTGTGATCACCCGATCAAAATGACGGGGACGCTTTTATTGCATGTATGCAGAAAATTGTATCTTTTACATACAATTTTATTGACTAAAATGGGCGTGAACACTTACAGAAATGATTGAAATTCTGCTACCTTGCTCCGAAAGGCCAAATATCGGCCGCCGGCAGCAGATGACCGTTGAAGAACCATGGAAGTCTTCTGTAGTCGGCAGGAACACGACGCCTGGCTGAGCTGGAGATCGTCCACGGTTTTCCGCGAAATTGAAGCGTCAGTTTTTTGATGCGCGGGTCTCAGGTCGTCATACGTCGCCTGGACCGTGAATTATTAGCAGCCGAATAAGTGTGCTGCACATCCTCTCGTGTAATTTATGGGTGTTACTACTACTGCCCTAGCCCGGCATCCGGAATAAATTCCGATACTGGAATAATGTCTGGTAGGACCTGGAGACTAGCGATCGTTTTCGTGTGGCTGTAGTCGCCGTTGAACACGAAGAACTCTTTAATAGTCGACCGCTCGCTCCAACAATCTTTCTTCAATTCTCAGTCTTTCTAGCGCCGTTCGTTCATCCGATTCCCGTCCCCACCCCTTTCGCAAAATGCCCATGCTATCACGTGCTTAGCGCGAAGCTTTTTCATAGGCTAGTCTTCTACGGAGCTTCGTGATTTATTGTCACGTAGGAATTTCTGGTGGGCTACTCTCGCCTTTTGATGTGACAGTTCCGATAGTCAGTCACCTACTGCTACCCGCAAAGATGGAAGGGTGCGTTTCGAGGGCGGACGCTCGTTGGGGAATACTGGGTTAGCGCCGCACACGCAGCTGCGCGTGTCCGATTGTGTCAACGGCGCTCTTCGCCTCGAAATATGTTAATAGAGCGTTTTTAGTACATTCTTGTTTTGCATTTTCTTTTTTTCTATTAAGGATTTTCGGATTTTTTAGCTGGATTTAACGATTACTTTTAATTTTCGACGTTTCGTATTATTTATTCCATAAACTTGTTTTATTACACTCACTAATTTCCCCCCCCACAAACTACTTAAAAAATCCACAATGATTTTCCTGCCAGTGTTTCAGTTCCAAGGTTAACCCCACTTATTTCTACATTTTTGTCCAAAAGTTGTTCTAGTTCTATTACTTTATGTATTACACTATTCGCTTTTTCCATCTTCATTTCTTCTTTAATTGCTTCTAGGTCTTTTATTTCTTCAATCACCTTATCGTATTTGTTGCTTAAAAGATCTATTGTAGTTTTTATATCGTGCATACTTGCATTGAGAGTGTCTATTTTACTGGTAATTTTCTGCAATGTCGTAGCGAGAAGGTTGTGCGAGTTAAGTGTTACCACTCGGTCTCCATTTAGAACATCTCCAGTTTCTCTTGCCTCTTTCTGATTTTGCCTGATGCGTGGCCTCACTGACTGAGCATGAGAAATGGAAATACTCGTCGCATCCATTACAGAAGACCTCAACAAAACCAGTGAAGAAATAATGTTTGGATCCTTTCAGTAAACAACTTGTGAAAATAACAAATTCTGATACAATTTTACAATCTGCAGAAACACACAATTAAATATTTACACTGTCAGAGTATTTCCTTATACTCCTGAACGACCATGGCCATCACAATCTCATTGAGTTTTCTCTTTATCGACATTAACTATCTGAATAAAAGGACAAAATAATTACAATATTTCACACGTACTAATTTGAAACACGTGACACTTATTACAATACAATTAATTTACCCAGCACCAATTTACAATAGTCCCATTCTATGCTGGTTTAACTACCATGCCGTAAGATAGAACAACAATTTTGTATCTTCACATAGTTAGTTCCTATACCAAGAGAATCGAGTAACAAGAACTCAAAATATCAACTATTTAAGTTACACACCATTTACCGTTTCCCTACCTCTCTCTCTACCATTCCACCTAGTTCTGTTACCAGCTTATTTTTCTCTAAGCTGCCACTAATTACCGTTATGTTGGCACAGCGTTTAGAGCGTTCGCCCTGCCCTAGACCACATTCCCGCCCCGCGCAATTGCAGTCGTCTGCGCGTCACGATGTTATATTTCTAGTCTATTTCTCCTTCAGTGGTTTGACTTAAAAACAAAATAACTACGATTCAATAGCAAAGTCCCTCAAGCGCACATGGAATACCGATTACACAATTAATGAAATATTGCGATAGCTATTGTCCGAAACCAGGTACCAAAAAAATCCTTCGCAGGGCGTTATAGTGCCGTCACAAAACGTTGAGTCTACCTGGACTTTCTCGGATGTCGTAGAACTTTGACTTTCACATCCTCGAGTCCGGCTGTCCACAATGCATCGTGCTTCACGTTGCACTCCGTGCCGTCCGTTTTCCGGTGTCGCTTTTCCAAATTTATTCGCCTTGGTTATGGCGACACGATTTTCCACATCCTTCAAATATCATAGATAGAATCAAATTACAAAAGTAAAACTATTCGTCAAATGTATTCAAATAATGAAACAATATTCTTCTTCCAGCTCACGATTCGAGCTGCCTGTCTCCCCCCCCCTCGCGTCGGCCGGCAGAGACACTACAGTTCATTTGTCTTAGAATGTACATAAATACGGGCGGCTCCTCTTGCACGGCCCGCGCTATGTAGCGTTCTTATCTTCCCCAGAGAGGCAACGGTTACAATGCGTTTTCACCCGTTATCCTTAAGATGTACCAAGACTAGCCAAAATTACTACAAACCGAGTAGATGTCCAATTATCACAGCAGTAGTCACTAACAACAACATCCATGGGGAAAAGTCCGTTCCACAGACCGATCACGTAGTCACTAGTACTCGCACTCCGATGTTCACTACGCTGCGGGAAGACACCAACTCCCTCACCGTTCGCTGCGCGCTGTCTAATAGCCCTCTGGGCGTGTCATACGGCCCCGGTGCGCCCGCTTTTACCGCCCCCTTGTGAGCGACGTCAGCATCTTCTTGCGGTGCCGCTGTTCTTTCGGTGACGCCCTGTGGCGGCTCTTTTAAAGGTGCGCAGGTGACTACTGCATGTATGACACGAGATATGTATAACATATGTAAACATGAGTGGGGTAATTTTTTTAGCCTCACAAAAATATAATATATGCATTATATTCAGTTAAATTGTAATTTTACAAAATTAATTGATGCTGTTACTCTCGACGGTCGTGCGTAATCAAATTATATTTTTGTAAACGAAATTTATTACATTCATGTGATTATCTTAGTTGCAACTGTTTTTTAATTAAGAATATATTTTGGATTAATTAACCTTTTCCTAAACAAAAACAATTTAAAACGGGTATGTCATAAATGTAAATCTTCAATTACAGTGAAAAGAAATATT